TCGTACAGTAATGGTGAGAGTGGGCATTCCTGTATTGTTCCTGTTCTTAGGGGGAATGGTTTTAGTTTTTGCCCTTTGAGTATGATGTTGGCTGTGGGTTTGTCATATGTGGCTTTTATTATGTTGAGATATGATCCTTCTATTCCCACCTTGCTGAGAGTTTTAATTAAGAAAGGTGGTTGGGCCGAAACTGGTTTGGCTTAGTGGATAGAGCATCAGCCTGTGGACATGTACCTTGGTTTCGGGCACATCCCCACTGGGGGGTGTGCAGGAGGCAACTGATGGATATTTCTCTCTCATCAGTGTTTTTAACTATCCCCTCTCCCTTCCTCTCTGTAAAATATCAATAAAAATAAAATTTTAAAAATAATATACATATTATTTTATATATATGTAAAATAATATATATACATATATATGTATATGTGTATATGTATATGATGAGAGAGAATCATAGATTAGCTTGGTTTCAGCACAAACCGGTTTCTGCACGACTATGTGATTTTTATCTCTCAATTTGTTTGTTATGTGTCACGTTTATTGATTTGCAGATATTGTACCATACTGCATCCCCAGGATAAATTCTACTTGGCCATTGTGTATGATCTTTCTGATGTATTCCTGGATCTGATATGCTAGAATTTTATTGAGGATTTTGACATCTGTGTTCATGAGGGATATTGGCCTGTAATTCTCTTTCATTATGTTGTCTTTATCTGGGTTTGGTATTAGGTTGATGCTGGCTTCATAGAAGGAGTGTGGAAGTGTTCCTTTTTCTTGAAACATTTGGAATAGTCTGAGGAGGATAGGTTTCAGTTCTTCCTTGAATGTTTGGTAAAACTTCCCTGTGAAGCAGTCTGGTCCTGGCCTTTTGTTTGTTGGAAGCTTTTTAATGACTGCTTCAATTTCTTCCGTAGTTATTGGCCTATTGAGATTTTTAGAATCTCCCTGATTTTTGAAAGATTTTGTTGAATTCAGGGAGGAAAGGAGACTTAGAGATAGAAACTTCAGCTGGGTATTAATTGATTATTTTATATGTGCCCTGACCATATGTGTTTTCTGTATGAATCACCAGATATAAATTCATGGTGTTACCTGGTACCTTTTGTAAATATTGGAAAATCCTCCACCGTGTTTTGTTAGTGGCTGCACCAGTATGTTTATAATGTTGCTGACAGTGCATCAACGTTCTCATTTCTCCACTTCATTGGTAATTCTTGTCGTTTTTTTATTTATGAATGATTCGCATCCTGTTAGGTGTTTGGTGGTATTTTATGGTGTGTCCATTTGCATTTCTCTGATGATGAATGAGTTGAACATCATTTAATATGTCTATTGGACATCAATATGTCCTATTTGGGAAATATCTATATATGATAGGTCCCCTGACCATTTTTCAATAATACTGTCTTTTTGGTGTTGAATTGTGTAAGTTTCTTATATATATTGGATTGAACCAGGGCCCCTCAGTCCACAGACAGATGCTCCATCCCTTGTGCCAAAACAGCTAGGGCTTCATTATAGTTTTTGGTAACAGAAGCTTTGAAGTATGTTTTAAAATCAGGAAGCCTGAAGCCTTTAATTGCATATATTCTTTTCATGATTGACTTCGTTACATGGAGTCCTGGGATGTTCACCTTAATTTAATTTAATTTAATTATTATTTTTAAAAATATATTTTATTGATTTTTTACAGAGAGGAAGAGAGAGAGATAGAGAGTCAGAAACATCGATTAGCTGCCTCCTGCACACCCCCCACCAGGGATGTGCCCGCAACCAAGGCACATGCCCTTGACCGGAATCAAACCCGGAACCCGTCAGTCCGCAGGCAGATACTCTATTCACTGAGCCAAACCAGTTTCGGCATGACTTGATATCTTTTGTTGAGATTTCTGAATTGTAAAGTAATAGACTTTTGAACATGATTTCTTTATGAAGAAACAAATAATAGCCATCTGTGGAACAAATTCTATTTTCGTTCAACACTGCTTTCAGTATCTCTAATTTGGTTCCATTGTCTGTTTAATATACCAGTGGGAAATATTCTCTGTTTTCTTCTCAGGCACACGATATCTTTTCAGGGTTGATAATATGTCTTAAGTACTGCCGTCACTGTGGTGCTTGAACAATATCTCATAGTTTCTTTGTAGCAGCTTCTACAGGGCACTCACCATGTACTGCCATTCGTTTGCACTGTGTCATGCACAACAGATGCTTCTTATTCAAGATGCTTCAAAACAGGGATGTGGGAGCTCCTTTCACATCCCGCGTGGTTCAGGGTTCCTGTTCAGGGTTTGGGTTTCTGCAGAAGGCCACACACAAAATGAAAGAAACAAAAAGAATTAATTTGGGAAATAGTGGTCCAGGCGGGAGTCCACCTCTAGGGAGAGGACTACAAGCTGCTCTGGCCTTGTTATCCCTATTATTAAGGTTATGAGATACACACGTATCCTTTAGGCAGGACACTCAATAATAGCCAATCAGCAAGAATTTACATATGACTAACAGTTGGAGGCTGCTTTAACTACAAACTTCTCAACTAAACAATGATTAGCTTAGCTCTGACCATTCAGAGCAATTAAGGTTGGCCAGCCATCCAGATTCCCTGTTCATATATCTCTATAAGTGACAATGATGGTTTCAGCACAGGGAGATCATTGAACATGCAATTCTCTCTCTCTTCTTTCTCTCCAGTGAAGAAACTGGGAATTGGGAGTGTTTTTATAATTATGGCCATGATGTGCCAGGGGGTTTGAGCAGGTAAAAAGGGCATTTTAAATTTTAAGGACGCAGAGTTTTTACATCATTGGCAAATGTAAGCTACTCTTTGTCCCTCTTTGATGTGAATTTTCCTCATGGTATCTATATTAAGCTTTAAATGAATCTTTCACTGGTTCTTGGAGTACTCAAAACTGTCATTTGGCCTATAGTTGCTGATAACTTCAATGTACACTCACTTCAATGTCAAAACTGAAAATTTGTTTTCTTTTAAGCTATTTCCTCTGAAAGTAACCAGGTCTTTATGCCAAAGTCCGGAATACAAGATTTATTCACTGAAAAAATACCGGTAAGATATAAAAGTTGTCATGTTGATAATATAATGTACACTTAATGAAAGCCTTGATATTTCAGAAGAGTGTGATGAGAAGAGAGGGAATTAGTATAAACAAAACTAATCTGGAAAGGTTATAATAAAATTGTTGTTATCTATAGAGGTCAAATGTAGTATGCATTTGGGAAACCTCTGATATTAAAGTCAGTTTATTTGCAGATCAGTGTTTCTGCATGTAATGGTTGAAAACAACTTTTATTTTATTTATTTATTTATTTTTAAAAATACATTTTATTGATTTTTTACAGAGAGGAAGGGAGAGAGAGAGCTAGAAACGTTGATGACAGAGAAACATCGACCAGCTGCCTCTTGCACACCCCCTATCAGGGATGTGCCGGCAACCAAGGTACATGCCCTTGACCGGAATTGAACCTGGGACCTATCAGTCCGCAGACCAACGCTTTACACTGAGCCAAACCGGTTTAGGCAAGGGCATTTTAAATTTTAAGGACGCAGAGTTTTTACATCAAGATATTGGTTACAGAGTATTGGGGGTTTCTATATAGCAAATTGTTGAAGTTAGAGAGTATTGGGCGTTTCTATACCACAAATATTTCAGATAATAATTATTTCATACATTAGAGGGATTACATTATTATAACATTAATATTATTATTATTGCTAAATGTATTTTTATTAAAATTCAGAGAGGTAGTGAGAGAGATAGAGAATCTCTCTCGATAAGAGAGAATCATTGATAAGAGAGAATCATTGATTGGCTGCCTCCTACATACCCTTATGAGGATTAAACTTGCAACCTGAGAATGTGCCCTGGATTGGAATTAAACCTGGGACCCTTCAGTCCTCAGGGAAATGCTCTATCTGTTAAGCCAGTTGAGCTAGGGTTCTTATTTTTTATTCAAAAATATACTTTTATTGATTTTAGATAGGGAGGTAGAGGAAGACAGAAGAAAACATCAATAATGAGAGACAGTCATTTCTTGGCTGCCTCCTGCTCTCCTTATACTGGGGAACCCTGGGCTTGTGCTCTGACCTGGAATGGAACCTCAACCAACTTGTCCATACATCTAAGCTCAACCACTGAGCCACGGTAGCTGGGGAATTGGCAATCTTTTAAATAAGAATCATTATTCTTCCTCTGACAATGTTTGTGTTTATGTTTTATGTATAATTTTTAAAAATTAGGAAAGGTTTTTTTAGACAACCATCTTTATTAAATGTAACAAATTGTTTCTTATGGAACACATGTACATGTTTAATGAAATTATAACTGTCACTAAAGGACTTTCTATCTTCTATTACTACCAGAGTACACATAATGGAGATGAAAGTTACCAATGCAATCAACTGTGGAAAATTTTTAAGCAAGGATCATATCTTAATCATCATTGGAGAAGCGAGCTTTCAGAGAAACATAAAAATGGAAATGTCTTTGACCCAAGTTCCAATCACAATATATGTCAGGTTATTCCTATTGTGAAGAAGACACACAAAGGAAATAAAAGTGTTCAGTCTTTTCAGCAGTATTCAAATTACACTGAACAAGAGAATGTTCATCCTGGGGAGGAGACTTACAAATTGAATTCTTGTGGTAAAATACCCAGTCAAATATTCAATCTAAATAAAATGAAAAAAATCCATAATGGAGCAAAACATTATAAATGTAAAGATTCTGGTAAAATATCTAATTTGTCTTCAGGTTGTATTCTAAATCAGAAAATTCATACTGGAGAGAAGCCTTTCAAATGTAAAGCATGTGGCAAAGCCTTTAAATGTCACTCATCTCTTATTGTACATAAGGAAAGAATTCATACTATTGCAAAATTTTACAAACTCAGGGAAAATGGAAAAAGCTTTAGTGAGTCCTCAAGACATAATCAGCATCATAGAAATGATATGGGAGAAAAGTCTTATAAATGTTCAGAATGTGACAAAGCCTTTACCAATCCCTCAACCCTTAGTATTCATCTGAGAATTCACACTGGAGAGAAACCTTATAAATGTAATGAATGTGGCAAAGCTTTTAACCAGTCCTCATTTACTTATCATCAGAGAGTTCATACTGGAGAGAAGCCCTATAAATGTAGAGAATGTGGAAAAGCCTTTAGATGTTCCTCACATTTTATTACCCATCAATTATTTCATACTGGAGAGAAGCCTTATAAATGTGGAGAATGTGGCAAAGCCTTTAACCAGTCCTCAAACCTTATTTATCATCAGAGAGTTCATACAGGAGAGAAGCCTTATAAATGTAGAGAATGTGGCAAAGCCTTTAGATTTTCCTCACATTTAATTACCCATCAGTTATTTCATACTGGAGATAAGCCTTATATATGTAGAAAATGTGACAAAACATTCACTGCGTTATCAACCCTTACTATCCACCAGAGAGTTCACACTGGCAAGAAGCCTTATAAATGTGGAGAATGCGGCAAATCCTTCGGTAGAACCTCACACCTTGCTTATCATAAAAGAGTTCACACTGGAGAGAAGCCTTATCAATGTAGAGAATGTGGCAAAGCCTTTAGATGTTCCTCCCATCTTACTACCCATCAGATAGTTCATACTGGAGAGAAGCCTTATCAATGTGGAGAATGTGGTAAAGCCTTTAAAAGTTCCTCATACCTTGATAATCATCAGAAAGTTCATACTGGAGAGAAGCCTTATAAATGTGGAGATTGCGGCAAAGCCTTTAGAAGTTCCTCATACCTTACTAATCATCAGAAAGTTCATACTGGAGAGACGCCTTATCAATGTGGAGAATGTGGCAAAGCTTTTACATGTTCCTCCCATCTTATTACCCATCAGATAGTTCATACTGGAGAGAAACCTTATCAATGTGGAGAATGTGGTAAAGCCTTTAAAAGTTCCTCATACCTTGATAATCATCAGAGAGTTCATACTGGAGAGAAGCCTTATCAATGTGGAGACTGTGGCAAAGCCTTTACACGTTCCTCATACCTTACTAATCATCAGAGAATTCATACTGGAGAGAAGCCTTATCAATGTGGAGAATGTGGCAAAGCCTTTACACGTTCCTCATACCTTATTAATCATCAGATAGTTCATACTGGAGAGAAGCCTTATCAATGTGGAGAATGTGGCAAAGCCTTCACATGTTCCTCATACCTTACTAATCATCAGAGACTTCATACTGGAGAGAAGCCTTATCAATGTGGAGAATGTGGCAAAGCCTTTACACGTTCTTCATACCTTACTAAGCATCAGAGAGTTCACACTAGAGAAAAACCTTATACATTTAGAGAATGTGGCAAAGCCTTTGATGGAAACTCACAGCTTAGTAAGCATCCGACAGTTCAAACTGGAGAGAAGCCTCATAAATGCAGAGAATGTGGTAAATTCTATAGATGGTCCTCAGAACTTACTAACCATCAGAGAGTTCATACTGGAGAGAAGCCTTTTAAATGTAAAGAATGTGACAAATCCTTTGGTGCATCTTCAAGCCTTGTTTATCATCAGAAAGTTCACACTGGAGAGAAGCCTTTTAAATGTATAGAATGTGGTAAAGCCTATAGATGGTCCTCAGACCTTATTAAACATCAGAGAGTTCACACTGGAGAAAAGCCTTATAAATGCAGAGAATGTGGCAAAGACTTTAGGTGTCCATCAAACCTTATTAAGCATGAGAGACTTCACACGGAGAAGCCTTATAAATGTAGAGAATGTGGGAAAGCCTTTGGTAGAGACTCAGAACTTAGTAAGCATCAGACAGTTCACATTGCAGAGAAGCCTCATAAATGCAGAGAATGTGGCAAAGCCTTTAGCTACCCCTCAAAACTTATTAAGCATCAGAGAGTTCATACTTGAGAAAGCCTTATACATGTAGAGAATGTGGAAAATCCTTTGTCAATTCCTCCTACCTTACTAAGAATGATATCGTTCATACTGGAGAGAAGCCTTTTACATGTAGAAAGTGTAACAAAGCTTTCATTCAGTGTGTCTGCTAAACTATAGAGCAGAGAGTGCATACTTGAGAGAAGTCTTACAGATATGCCTTGTGTGGTCGGTCCTTGATCAGCAGAGTACTTAACATCATAGAATTCATGCTGGAGAGAAAAATGTAAAAAAGCCTTTTAAAGTCACTCAGGTATTATTATAATTGAGATATTCATAAGAGAGAGAGACCAAACAAATGTAGAGAATAGGATGGAGCATATACCCACAGCTCAATTCACTGCACATCAGGGAATTGAATAGTAGAGGGACACTTTACACTGTAGAAAATGTGAGCCTTAACCTGAGGTCAAACTCAACATTTCAGGAATCATTCTAAAGAAACAGATATAATGTAGTTTTCATCCAAAGGTTTCTCCATGGTTGAAACTTCATTGAGAATGATAAGATGAAGTCTTACAAATTATGAGGCATATTGTCAGTGTATGTCCTCATTTATATGTCATACTATCTCTGATAATTATTACTGGGTTGATTCCCATCAACATAAAGAGTGTGACAAATCTTACACAGTATGCAACCCTGGCCCGACATCAGAATTCATCCTGGGGAGAAACTACAAATGTAAACAGTGTCCTAAAGTCTTTATTCAGCATCTGTAGCTTATTCCTCACATTGGAATTAATTCTAGAGGGAAACCTTAAATCTGAAGAATGTCAGAAATCATATACTTGGACCTACAGCCTCGCTCAGTATCAGCTTATAATTTTGTAGAAATTCCATATTCATGATAATAGGAGGAAGGATTTTTCTTCAAAATGTACATTTCACAAAACTTCAAGGAATTTATGCCTTAAGTAGATTTTAAAGATGTTAAAACTTTATGCAATTGACTATGATTTTCAAAGTATCAGTGAATTCACACTAATAACCAAAATGCTCTTCAGGTATTGTTCTAAGTCAGAATGTTTATTAAACAGTGTCCTCCAAACTTAAAATGTAATTAGGGAATATTTATATAGTTGGATATATCAAAAGAATTGGTGTTTCCATATGTAGAGTTACTTGGAGTGTTATTTATATTGAAATCATTTGAAGTCTTGAAAAGGAAATATTAATGTGACTGTAATCCCATATCACTTGATACTGCTTTGTTTTCTGGTGTCTTGTGTGAGTGAAATCATGGGGTTGATTGTTTCTGCCTTAAAGATTTGTGAGCTGTTGTATGGACTTCACTTGTGTACACTTTCTCATGGAATATTGGATACATTCTAAGGTGCAGTATTTTCTTCTATTAGAGAATAATACTATTAAATAATTCTTTTAAAATAGTTCTTGATTTTTGTAAATGATGTCATCGAAGTTTCTTCCTTTTCTGTGCCACTGTGTTCAGCTGAAAACTTTTTGAGGGCATGTGAGTTTGCAACATTCAGGGGACAGGAACTACACTCAGGACAGGGCTGTCTGTGTAAAAATTTTCAATAATTAATAGGAATATTGCAATACCAGTGACAGTGTTGTACCCAAGATGCAGAATTTTCCTGAACTCTGCATATGGGATAGGATAGTTTTGCCAGGCTACACTGCTGGCTGAACTCAGAAAAATTAATTCTGTTTCTTTCATTTCCTATTTTCTGTTTCTCTCTGGTTTTTCACTTTGTCTTCTAGGCTGCCATTCCTTTAGCAGTACTATGACCACAGCATGTGAAACTTCCTGCCCCACATCAGCCTTTCAAGCCCCTGTAACTTCCACTCAGTAGTTTGGAATTTATTATGCAATGACTGACCCCAGAATTTAGTGAATATTTTGCTTTATTTTCATGAAGTACATAGCCCACCATTCAGGTTCTCATGCGGACACCTATAGTTTTTATTATGAATAAGAATTTTAGGAATACCACTAATTCTCATCTGTGTACATTGTAATTGGAATCCTTTTTTATTTTTAATGTTTTATTAATTTTTTACAGAGAGGAAGGGAGAGTGATAGAGTTAGAAACATTGATGAGAGAGAAACACCGATGAGCTGCCTCCTGCACACCCCCCACTGGGGATGTGCCCGAAACCAAGATATATGCCCTTGACCGGAATCGAACCTGGGACCTTCAGTCTTCAGGCTGACGCTCTATCCATGGAGCCAAACCAGTTTTGGCTGGAATCCTTTTTCTTGTCCTGATTTCCATTGGAAAGAATAATTTTTCAGTGTTATCTCATTAACTTCTTTATTGGGATGCAATTAACCCAGTTTACACAGGTTTTATTCTCACTTGCTTTTATGAAGTTAAAAGTCACAAGTCTGGCAAAGTGTAAGTGCAGGACATAGCCCTGATGTTCTTTTTAATTTTGTTACATGCCATTACTTATTTTTAGAGAGGTAGTGATTGAATTCAGAAAGTTACCACATGGCATCCAGGCCTAGGGTTGGTCTGACTTAGCACCTCTCCCTTTAGCGTTGACCATGTAAGAAAGATTTCACACCAGTCCAGGTGGCTTTTGAGAAAATGTTATTTACAGTGTGTAACAAAGAGGGCTTAAGGGAGGAGAAGCAAGAGGAGATTGTCAAGAAAATGGGGGCCTTAGAGCCCATTTTAGGGGATTACTGTTATATTGTAAATCAGCCAACTAGACCAAAGACGCCTTAATCATTGAGCCAAATTTTGGAGCACTAATTATGCTAGTGGTCTTAGAGGAGTAACCTCCCAAATCTGAGCAAAAACAAGGAACACATAGAGGAATCGCTCCCAGAAAGCCCCTCCTTGCGGGCAGATCACCTGTCCAGAGGACACTGTTTTCTTTCCCTATATGTCCCACCCCATGAAGACTGCTCTTCCTGGAAATCTATGCTCATTATTTTTGGGGAAGGGATAATTGAAATTATTTGAAGCAAACTGATGACACACCAGAGACAAGATCTGAAATGCTCTCTTCTTGGCCCTAAAATGGGTGCATAGCGGAAGGGAAGCCATCTGGACTCTCAGGGCCTGGGGCAGAGATGTGGGGAAAGGCACACAAAGGGTTTGACTAAACTCTAGTCGTTTCCTGAGACTTTAAACCTGGTTGGGTGGGAGTGCTTTCCTGGAATGGCTTGCAGCAGAAAGCCCTCCACACAGCCGGAATTGTGTAAAGGCCTGAAAGCAGAGACATCTCAGGGAGTTTCCTCCGACAAACCCTCCATCTGGGCAAATATAGAAAACAAAAATAGAGGTAAATTATTACCATTTTAAAATAAAAAATAAACTGTTACCAGAAGGAACATATAATTAAATTGAAATTGCATTTAAATATGATTGATCTAATGTCCATACTTCCTAAAGCAATCTATAGGTTCAATGCACTCCCCATTAAAATACCAATGGCATATTTCACTGACTTAGAAAGAACTCTCCAGTCTACGGCCATACTGAACGCACCTGATCTCGTCTGATCTCGGAAGCTAAGCAGGGTCGGGCCTGGTTAATACTTGGATGGGAGAAAGAACGCTCCAAAAGTTCATTTGGAACAATAAAAGACCCCGAATAGCCACAGCAATCCTGAGAAAGAAGAGTAAAGTAGGGGGGATCTCAATACCAGTCTTCAAGCTGTATTACAAAGCCACTGTTCTCAAAACAGCCTGGTACTGGCACAAGAACAGACATATAGATCAATGGAATTGAATTGAGAACCCAGATATCAACCCAAATCACTGTCAAATTAATATTTGACAAAGGAGGCACGAATATACAATGGAGTCAAGAGAGTCTCTTCAATAAATGGTGTTGGGAAAATTGAACAGATACATACAAAAGAATGAAACTAAATCACCAACTTACACCATACATAAAAATAAACTCAAAATGGATACAGGACTTAAACATAAGACAGGAAACCATAAAAATACTAGAAGCATCCACAGGCAGCAAAATCGCAGACATATGCCAAAAGAACTTCTTCACTGATACTGCCCCTAGGGCAATGGAAGCTAAAGCGAAAATAAACAAATGGGACTACATCAAAATAAATAGCTTTTTTACAGCAAAAGTAACCATCAACAAAACAACAAGAAAGCCCACTGTGTGGGAGAACATATTTGCAAATGTTACCAATGATAAAGGTTTAATCTCCAACCTCTACAGACAGCTTATACAACTAAATAAAAGGAAGATGAATGATCCAATTAAAAAATGGGCAATGGACCTAAATAGAATATTTTCAAAAGAAGACAGAAGGAAGGCCAAAAGGCACATGAAAACATGCTCAAAGTCACTAATTATCCGAGAGATGCAAATCAAAACAACAATGCGGTACCATTTCACACCTGTCAGAATGGCCAACATCAACAAATCAACAAACGACAAGTGTTGGCGAGGTTGCGGAGAAAAAGGAACCCTCGTGCACTGCTGGTGGGAATGCAGACTGGTGCAATCACTGTGAAGAACAGTGTGGAGTTTCCTCAAAAAACTGAAAATGGAACTCCCATTTGATCCAGTAATCCCACTTCTACGAATATATCCCAAGAAACTAGAAACACCAATCAGAAAGGATATATGCACCCCTATGTTCATAGCAGCACAATCTACAATAGCTAGAATTCGGAAACAGCCTAGGTGCCCGTCAGCAGATGATTGGATCCAAAACCATGGTACATCTATACAATGGAATACTATGCTGCCATAAAAAAGAAGGAATTCTCATCATTTTCAGCAACTTGGATGGAATTGGAGAATATCATGTTGAGTGAAACAAGCCAGTCAATGAAAGAGAAATACCACATGACCTCACTCATTTATGGATAGTATAGAACACATGTGTCAAACACAAGGCCCGAGGGCCAAATCCGTCCCGCCAGGCCTTGCAATGTGGCCCGCACCGCGCTGTCATCACTGCACTCCGCTGCGTTTCCATCACAATGACAGTTTATGACTGTTCAGTAAACCATTCGGCCCGCGATTTAGGCTGGGTTTTAGATTTTGGCCCCTTCTCTGATTGAGTTCGACACCCCTAGTATAGAACATTATAAACTGATGAACCAAAAGATAGATATTGAGACAGTAAAGCAACAGGCAGACTGTCAAATTACAGCAGGAAGGGTAGGGAGATCTGGGGGAGATAAGAGATCAACCGAAGGACTTGTATACATGTATATAAGTACAACCAATGGACACAAAACTGGGGAGGGAAGGTATGTATGGAATGGGGGGGCAATATTAAAATATGTACACAGATAATTTAATAAAAAATATGATCTAAGTACATTATATTATGATTTGAACAAGGTTTTTTTTGTTGTTGGTTTGTTGTTTTCATGTGTGTGTTTTTTTAAATATATTTTATTGATTTTTTACAGAGAGGAAGAGAGGGACAGAGAGAAACATCAATGAGAGAGAATCATTGATCAGCTGCCTCTTGCACACCCCCTATTAGGGATGTGCCTGCAACCAAGGTATTATACATGCCCTTGACAGGAATCGAATCTGGGACCTTTCAGTCCACAGGATGACGCTCTATCCACTGAGCAAAACTGGTTTTGGCTTGTTGTTGATTTTTTTTATTGATTTCGGAGATGAAGGGCGAGGGAGAGAGAGAAAGATGTTT